GTCATCCACATACTTTATCTGCCGTAGCCAACACACAGTCCCTGTATCTCTCCCAAACATCTCCATCCTTACCACTCTCCCAATTTTCAGCCACCTTCACTTCAAATGCCTTCCTCACCTCTGCATCCTGCAACTTCCATGTCTTTCTCTTTGCCACAAACTTATCCTTCTTCCTCCTCCCCATTTCTTTTGATGTCACATCCATCACAACCATACTATGCTGCAACATACCAGGTATCGCCTTCACATTCTTCACATACTTCCTATGTTTGGCCCTTACCAATATATAGTCGATCATCGATCTATGTTCCCCTGACCTATAAGTAATCAATCGCGCTGGTTCCCTTGTGAACCAAGTGTTCCCCACCACCATGCTGTGTGCATCCGCTAACTCCAACACTCTACGCCCTTCCTCATTCCGTATACCATATCCCCATCCCCCATGTACACCTTCATATATGTCTGCATCCGCCCCCACATGACCATTCAAATCACCCAACAACACCACAAACTCATTCAACCCCGCTTGCCCAATCCCGTCAGAAACATCATCATAAAACCTATCCTTCTCCTCTTCCTTCCTACTTTGTTGCGGAGCATATCCTGATATCACCCTCACTATTACTTTTCCAAACACCATCACCACCACAATTACCCCATTGCTTCTCCGCCTCACTTCCAACACCTGCTCCAACAACTCTTCTCTTACCATCACACCAACTCCTCCCGTACCATCATCCCCCTTCCACCACAACTTATATCTTCCACCTTTAGCCCCCACAAACCTTGTACCCTCACCCTTCCATCTGACCTCCTGTAATGCAGCCACGTCAACCATTCTCCTCTGCAGCTCCTCCACCACTTCCAAACTTCTTCCTGTCAACGTGCCTACATTCCAGGTACCAAACCTCCAACCCCTTGGTCTACAAGTAGTCCTTCCATTTATAGTGCCTTGCACCGCCACACTATAGATTGGGGTGCCAGTAGCCAGACCATCCACAGGGCCTTGCACCACAACCCCATCGACTGGGTCTCCGGAGATTCTTCGCACCCTCTTCTGCCGGATACTGAGGGCCATTGTTTTCTCCGTCATCATCATAAGCATTTATTATTTGGCTAGTTTTTACACAGGACACCCTTCCTTACGCAACCACAGTTATAAGCGGTGGGCCTAGCCTTTGATGATCCAACATCACTCACAAGGCAGTGAGGGTCAGTTTAATGTCATAACCAGGACATCAAGTTATCATATCAAGTATCAAGTTATATATATATAAATATATCATAAAATATTTGGATGAAATATTATTATTTATTTGCTGATGATGTAATTCAGAAGAGTGAAGGAATGAAATGGAAGAATGAACAACAATGAATGAATAAAATATAAATGGACTAATAAATGAAAAATTAAAAATAAATAAATGATGAATGATTTAGTTAGTAGGTTAAATAAGTTGTGATGATATTCATTTTATATATATATATATATATATATATAATTATAATATGATGGCAATTAAATATAAATTAATTATAAATTAAATCTAATGACTTTAAATTTTAAATGGCTACTAAAGCCTACCAAAGCCAACTAAAAAAGCGTTATATGTATTTAATATAGTTTATTTTTCTATAATGACATCAATCATTTAATTTAATGTTTATTTTAATCAATCTTATAATAACAAATCTAAAATTCTAATCTAAACTAAATTAGTAAAGGAATAGTATTGTAGTTTTACTTTTTCAATTACATTAATTTAATAATGATTAAATGAAACCATGATGAACGATTTTTATGATAAATTTTCGCAATTTTACACCAAAAAAGGGGCGTTATTTTTATTCCATTTTAAATGAAAAATGAAAAAAAAATAAATAAAAATGAAAAAATTTCTTTGCAAATTAACTTTTAAAAAATGTACAATGAATGTTTTTAATATGAGTTGGAAAAGAGAAAAAAACTGACTTTTGGGATTTTAATATGCTCCATAATTTTTGTAAAAATTTTATTTTGTCCCAAAATTTAAGAAACTTCATACAAATAATAAAATACTTTATTTCGAAAATAAGTGTAAACAGATTTTCAACTTAAGAAAATTTATACTTATATATAATGAAATGAAATTTATGGAAGGCCTAGCGGCGTTTATTTAAAGCTCTTTTTTTTCAAAATTTTTCGTTACTGTAATTTTAAATGTGGTTGTTGGTCTTGTTGTTTATAACAATTTTCAATGATGCGATGTAAATTTTCAATGAAATTTTTTCAATTTTTTTACTAAAAATTCCTCTTCTTCATCTCTACCAGACCATATAAGACGTTCATTTATCCAGAATCTATCATCTTGGAAGTTGTAAAGTTGTAATATAAAACACACACACACAAACACATACAAACACACAAACATACACAAACACACACACACACACACATACATACACACAAACATACACACAAACACACACACAGACACAAAACAAACAGTACATTGTTACATATGAAAGAGGTAAAATCTTGATCACCGCTATCCGTACAATGTTTTCAATGATCGATATATTGCAAACATCAATGTTTGTTTTAATCCAGGCGATTTTTCAAATATACTAGCGTATTTAATGATATCATTCATCACTATTATTGCAGTGTAGTATCGTTAGTATTATTGTAGCAGTATCATTTGTATCATTGTAGTAGTATCATTTGTATCATCATTTGCATAGAAAAAAAATACTACCACATTTACTGTCTTCAACTACCACTACTACTACTACTACTACTACTACAACAACAACAACAACAACAACTACTACTACTACTACTACTACTACAAAAACTACTGCTACTACAACTACTACTACTACCTATACGACTACTGCTGTTGCTACTGCGGCTACCAAAACGACTACTAATTTTGATACTGATAATGGTATTCTAAAATACACAGAATTTTGTATTTGAATTCACCACGCGTTGATTTTTAAGAGCCCACGCCTCCATTTGTACGAGCCTTTCAACAGTCATCATCATCATCCTTATTAATATTATTATTATTATAATAAATAGATTAAATAGGATTTTATAATTATTTCATAATTAATATTTGGTATTTGGAGTTAGAAAATAAAAGGATGTTCCCATTATTATTATTATTATCATCATCATCATCGTCGTCGTCGTCACTTGACAAATTTATATATGTAACATCAACTACGGTTCAGTGGACAGGATTGTATGAAGAGGGAGTTTTAAAATTATAATTACTTGCATTTATCAATTATATTAATTAATTAATTAATTAATTAGTTAGTTAATTAATTAGTTCGTTTTTAGCCTTTTTCTGCGTGTGTGTGCACGGTTGTTAGCAGTCTGAACGGAATTTTTTCAAATCATTACGAGCACTCACCCAATGATGATGAGGATTTTCCAGATATTTTTAACACTTTCATTCAGTTTGGTGACCTGTTTGGGGCAAGAAGAAATTGAATATAAAGGTTAGTTGACATGATTGTGCAGCAGATAAGATGCTTGATGTGTGTGTTTATTTGTGTGTGTGTGTGTGTCTGTGTTTGTGTGTGTGTTTGTTTGTGTGTGTGTGTGTGTCTGTGGTTGTGTGTGTCTGTGGTTGTGTGTTTGTGTCTGTCTGTGTTTGTGTGTGTGTGTGTGTGTTTGATATTTTTTCCTTTGAGTTACTCAACTCAATAAGAAAAAAAATTTTCCGTTTAGCGGTATCTCAAATTTTCTTCTCTTGTTTTTAGAGAAAAATTTTTTAGCTAGAAAGTTAATTTTTAAAAATTTGAGATTTTTTTCCATTATTTAAATAAAGCTTAATTAAACGTTAAAATTTTCACAACTCTGAAATGAAGTCATTATTTTTACGGTTATTGATCCCAAACATCTGTTCCCCTTTCACCGCTAATGAATTAAATTAGCAATTTTCACAAATTTCTAATTCCAAATTTGTCCGATCTCACATTTTTTCCAAATTCCAGAGGTTGAGGTGGAATGGGAAGAGGAGTACAACGGAGAAAAACTTCCAGAGAGTTTCCAGATCCGTCTTCCGATAGACGAGAACAAGACCGTCCTGCTGGATCTGGAGAAGAAGAAGGATCGGATGGACGACGTGATGGTCATTGTGGCTTCAGATGGCGAGGACACTGTCTGGAAGCCTAAGGAGGAAGAGGTACACACACACGCACACAAACACACACACACACACGCACACACACACACAAACACACACAAACGCACACACACGCACACACGCACGCACATAAATACCATAAATCATCACCTAATTACTCATTTGCCTGTTAAAACGATTTTATAAATTTTTTAATGAAACTGGTTTTTTTTTCAAACAGAGTTTCAGTCTGTATAGCGACAATGATTATCACGCTTCCTTCTCTGTCGCTAGGAACAAATCTATTCACGGGAGGTTGACCATTGTAAGAAAATCTTTTTTGAATTATTATTTTCACAATTTTTTGCACAAATAAAGATGGAAAGAGTGAAAGAAACGGAAATGAAAAGAGAGAGAGAGAGAAAGAGAGAGAGAGAGAGATAATTTTAGTAAAAGAAAGAGAATTTTTATTAATCTTTCTTTATCTGCAACACACACCACACATACACACACACGCACACACACACACAAACACAGTTTGGAAGTTACAGAATAGGCAACAGAGAGTACAGTATCAGGCCTGACGATTCAGATTTTGATAGGAAGGCCCTAGATTTGAACTCCCTGCAAGAGTTCTTCATCTCAATAAGGGGTCACAGGCACTTACTCACGGAAGATAAACCAGTTGACAGAAGCAAACATACTGGTTAGTTTGTCATCATCATCATCACACGATCATCATCATCATCATCATCAGACCATCATCATCACACCATCCTAATCATCATCATCATTATTATCATCACACCACCATCAGACCATCATCATCATCATCATTACTATCACAGCATCATCATCATAATTACATTTTGTTGACTTAAATCACGATCATTTCACTTCAATTATGTTTAAATTGTACTTTTATTCATCCAACTTAACAGGCAAAGATTATATTTATGCCGATGAATTGTGAAGATTGCCATCAGTACAAGGAAACTTGCAAATGCATTCACAATTCAGTGAATGAACAAACAAACGAATGAATTAATGAATGAAGGAATTAATTGATGGATGGATGAATTAACAAATTGATGAATGAATGAATTAATTGATGACTGACTGACTTAATGAATCAGTGAAATAAACAAACAAATGGACGAATGAGGATTATTGTAGTTTTTTTTAAATAAATTTTAAAAATTATTATTTTTAATAGCTAAATTATTCGAAACATTTTAAAAACCGTTAAAAAATACAATGATAATGTTTCATACATTCGAATTATTAATCGCAATCTAATAATAATAATAATAATATAAACATTTAAAATCAAAAATCTAGTATAATGACTTTGCATTCGAACGCGGTCACTTTGAGATACCATTTAAAAAATTTCATCTCTCTACTTCAACTTCTTCTCCTTAATATGAAGACTTTTGTCTACTCTTTCCACTAGCTTCTAGAGACAACAGTCTAATCTTTAGTGAGAATGATTTTGGAATTAATTCATTCCAATTGGAATGATATAATTGAAATTATTAAAATTAAGGATGATGATGACAAAGATGACGACGACGATGATGATAGCTATAGCATCTACGATTAATAATAGCTTCATGATATACTGCACTCTGTCGGTTTTATCTTGAAAAATAAAAATTTACAGAATTCACAGAGTTAACGATGATTCAGTATTTTTTAGGATTTTTAAGATAAAAAATTGATCAGAAATCGTTCTTAATTAAGTGTGAATTATGTCATTGAAGCTCAAAAAAATCACATAACGAAAAATGGAAAAAGCTGGAGAGAGAAAGAAGGAGGGAAAGAGAGAGAAAGAGAGAGTGAAAGAGAAACAGTAAAAGAATGGATGGGAAAGAAAGAAAGAGAAGGAGAGAGAGAGAGAAAGAGAGAGAAAAAGAGAGAGAGAGATAGTTCAATACATGAGCGAGAGATCGATTGTAAGAAGAAAACTTGATTTGAATTAAAAATCCCAAAAAAATTCAACTCCAAATTCATCTAATGTGTTGAATAATTGATCGCCAGAACGCTGTGTGGAGTTTGTTTGTCTTTACTTTTTTTCTCTGTCGTTCATTCATCTGTTTAATCATTCATTCATTCTGTCATTCATTCTGTCATTCATTCTGTCATTCATTCTGTCACTCATTCATTCACTCATTCATTCACTCATTCATTTACTATCATCCAATCTCTCAATTACTCCCTCATTAAGTCTACAATTTTTGTTTATTTTTAAAAATTTCCGTAAACACTTCATCCATTTTTCATTCATTCATTCGTTGAGCCATCCGATCCATCACTCTTTCAATCATTCATCCTGTCATTCATCCAATCATTCATCCAATCATTCATTCGTTCTCTCATTCATATCGTTTACAAGTTAACACGGACTAGTCAGTCGCTGCTATAATAGTAGCTGAAATACTAATATTTCTTTGTATTTTAACGTCGCTCTGTTAACGGATTTTGATAAACCAACGTTAAAATGATGATAAATCATTAAAATACAGGAAAAAATATAATAAAGTAACAATAGTTAATAATTTTAATATGGTACTTTTGCAACACAAAAAAATAATGATGAATAAACTAGAATTTGAAAATTTTTCTCTGCAATAAGCCAGAAGAAATATGAGAAACCCATGCTACATGTTACGTAAATCAGAGCTGGTCTTGCTTTTGTTGTTAGCCTTATTAGATGTTGAAAACATATCTGAAGGCTGGCAAAGATCTAAAGAGGTATTTTATTATTATTATTGTTGTTGTTGTTGTTGATTTTGTTGTTGTTGTTCATTTTTATTAGTGATAATAAAAGTGATACTACGGTTACTATCACTACTAAGTAGTAGCTGCAGTAGTAGCAGCTTTAGTATCAGCAGTAGTAGTATTAGTAGTAGGTAGTAGGTAGTAGTAGTAGTAGTAATAGTAGTAGTGTAAGTAGTGTAGTATCATTATTAAAAAATTTTGATGAATTATCATTATTAAATGAGTAAATGTTTAATTAAATTAAATCTCTTTTTTGGTTTCAAGTTCACGTTCCAATCCATTATTAAATTTAATCATGAGCAAATGAAATGGGTGGAAAATAATTCTTGAAAAATAATTACTGATAAAAATATTTTTTTCATAAAAGAGCTATTTAACTTTCGCCCTGAAATTTGGCAATGGTGAGGAGAGAGGCATCTTGAGGCGGTCTACTCGACAGAAAAGAGGTGAAGTTTTACAATTTTAGCGAGTTTTACATTTAGAAAATGAATAATTAACCATAAGAGTGACAGACAGCCTAATGGTTAGAGGCGTCTGGTTTTGCGTCGCACTGACCAGATTCGATTGCAAGATACTCCGGCCTGTCATGTACAATGTCTGTGATTCGTGTGTGTCTGTGTGTGTATGTGTGTGTATGTGTGTGTGCGTATGTGTGCGTGTGTGCGCGTTGTTGACACTTTTGAGAAATATTTAGCAAAAAATGAACTTTTAACATTCACGAAATATGTCGTTTTTTAAAGATAATGTTTTAATGGACAAACCTAGAATTTCTTTTATCATCATCATTATCGGCATTATCATCACCACCACTATCATCATCATTATTATCACCACCACTATCATCATCACCACCACCATCATCATCATCATTATCATCGTCATTATCTTCATCATCATTTCTATTTTAGAAAAAGTTATAAAAAAATATTTTTTTTCCTTCAAGATAATTCCTTCCGCAGCCCTGATTCTGAGTAAGAAAAGTTTCAAAACTTCAAATCTTATATAATACACTGCTACTACTACTACTATACTACTACTACTACTACTACTACTACTACTACTACTACTACTACTACTACTACTGCTGCTGCTACTACTACTACTACTACTACTACCTACTACTACTACTATTACTAATAATTATAATGATAATACGGCGACCAGATGATAGAGTAACGAGTAAGGCGTCTGGCCCTGATGTTGCAGTGACCTGTTTCGAATTCAAACAACTCCCCGACATTTTCACGCAGTATGATATGCGTGATACGTGCTGCTGATTCTTGATATTTTTGCATGTTTTTGTGCCTCTGTTATCAACGACAAATTCAAAAAAGAACAATCACTAGAGATTTATTAATTACCTTGATAAGCATATTATAATTATAATTATAACTATAATTATAATTATAAATATAATTATAAATATAATTATTTTTGCTATAATTAAAAATATTAATCAAAATTATTATTACCGATCAGAACATCTTCGTGGCAACCAGCAACAGCAGCGACAACAACGAAAGACAATGAAAATAAAGACACATTTAGCAGCTTTCCAATACGTAATAGGTTTATAACTCACGATAGGAACAATAATGATAATAATAACAACAACTATTACACTGACAACTACAACAATAACAATAAAAACAGTAACAATGACATTTACAACGGTAAATATAACGACTACGATGTACAAAACAACAACAGTTACATCGACAACAACAACAAATACTACAACAACGACAACAACAACATCAACAACAACGGTTACATCAACTACAACAATCTATTTAACACTGACATCAGCAAAAATTTTGATACCAACAACAACAACAACAACGGTTATTTTAACTTCAACAAACGTTTCAACACTGACATCAACAAACGTTTCGACAACAACAACAACGGTTACACCAACTACAACAATCTATTTAACACTGACATCAGCAAAAATTTTGATACCAACAACAACAACAACAACAACAACAACAACGGTTTTTTTAACTTCAACAAACGTTTCAACACTGACATCAACAAACGTTTCGACAACAACAACAACGGTTACACCAACTACAACAATCTATTTAACACTGACATCAGCAAAAACTTTGGTACCAACAACAACAATAAAAATGGCTATACGACCAACTTTGGAAATCCATTCGACCGCGATATAACCAATACTCTTGGCAAAGACATCTTTACTTACGGGAATAAAAAGACATTTTTTGGCGATTTTCCAAAAACACCAACAATAAATTCACATAATAATAATAATAATAATAATTATGGTGGTAGTAGAGGAGTCATACCGTTAGGAACACCACTTTACGTTCAACTATTTATAGTTGTCGATTATTCTACAACCAAAAAGTTTGTCTAAGGATTGCCCTGTTTCTGCAATTTTTTTTTGATTTTCAGAGTTTAATTTAAAATTTTAAAAATAATAAAAACGTTTCTTAATTTAGCTTGAGAGTGATAAGTTTCAATGAGGCATCGGTGCTGGGCTGGTTTGGTAGTGAGAAGATTCTGCTCGTGATTGTCACATACACACGAAACAAACACTCTGTTCTATGCGCCCAACTTGCCAAACATTAAACCATTTTGTCTGTCGAAAAACTATATAATATTAGTTATTTAATAATTATAATTAAAAATGATAATTGTGGAAAAAAATTAAAATTTTAAAATTCTAAATGAATCTCAGATGGAGGGAGATAAATCCGGATGATGGCGAGGATGTTACGAAGTTTAAGATCCAAAACTACCTGCTAAGCCTGATAAAAGAAGTTGGATAGACTTTTATAATTGATATCTTATCAATTATATTTCATTTAAAAAGATTAGTTATAGATTATTCAGTATAATTTATAACATTTGAAGGTTCTAGTGTAACAAAGGTTTGATACCAAAAAATATCCCAGATTTTAATAAAAATGTTTTATTTACATATTTAATTTAAACGTCTATCTTAAAATTTAATTAGTTAATTGATTAATAAGTTAATTAATTAATTAGCTAATTGATTAATTAGTTAATTAATTATTTAATTAACTTCTTCTATTTATTTATAAATTTTTCATAAGTTGAATTTATTTTTAGGTGAATGATCGTTATAAAACTCTTGAAAACCTCAATATAACAATGTTAATCAGTGAAATTTATTTCAGAAAGGTAATATCATTCATTCGTTCGTTCGTTCATTTGTTCGTTCATTCGTTCGTTCGTTTGTTTATTCCTTTATTTGTTCGTTCATCCATTTGATCGTTCGTTCTTTTGTTCGTTCGTTCATCTATTCATTCATTATTCCATCCACTCGTATTTTTATTTTGAAGAGATCTCTTAATTCGTTTGTAGCGTAGCGGTAGAGCAGCAGGTCTAAATTTGTTGTGACTGAGTTTGAATGCAAAGATAATCTCCATTTAAATTACCCTATGGTGATTGTTTGTCAAATGTTGAACACTCCTCTAAGCAAAAAAAAGCCCTAAATGTAAATTTCAGATTTGGATATGATTGGACTGAGTTCGAGGAGATTTTTCTGAAAAATTTATTTCTGTTTATAAGTACTATTCTCAAAACATAATAATATAAAAACTATGATCATAAAACATTAATAAAACTGTAAATAATAATTTTATTAATTTCAATATTATCATTTTAATATTTAAATATAAATTCTGCCTATATGGAGCAACTGTTGAGGCAAAAATATTGAACCAGAATATAGATTTTCTGAAAATCCGAATTTAAATTTCAAATGTTGAAAAAAAAATTTGTAACGCGAATTTTAGAAAAAATTCAGATATTTAGAAAATTAGTTATGTATACATATATATTCGTCACTATGACGTCCAGACTGTGTTCAAATACTAGCTGAGCCGAAATTTAAAATGTTATAAATTTGAGTAAACTGTTGGTTTTCATTTCAAATTTGTAATACATTGTTAAACTTGATTTTAGTAATTGACAATTTAGATAAAATTGTTATATTTTATTCAAATAAAGTTTCATGACACACATCAGTCAATCAAAGACAATATAGAAACGACTAACATAGCACCTCTAAAACACAGACAACATTCAACAGATATATTCAACGCCTTTTCTGCTGATTCGGCTTCAGAGGTATTAAAACCCATACCTTCATCTTCTCTTGATGTTTAACCTACTGTTATTCTTAAAAAATTTTCTTCAATCCTTGCTCTTGTGATCTCAAAACTTGATAATCTTTATTTTAGCAAAGGCGTTTTATCTACTACTTTCAAGACTGTCCAAGTTTATCTGCTCTTTAAAAAATCTAACCTTGATCCATCAGACTCATCAGACTATCGCCCCATCTCAAAATTGTCTATTTTTTCTAAAATTCTTGAGCGTTTGGCTTTGAACAGAGTCATTACTTAGGCTACCACTTCTTCACATTTCGCAACTTTCCATTCCGCATATCGTCCTTGTTTCTCCTCAGAAAGTGTACTTTTCCACTTACACAATCTCACTAAAATTTGTGCTAACCGGAGCTGTGCTGCTACGATCTGCCTGGACCCATCTTCGACCTTTGACACGATTAATCATCAAATACTCCAAAAATTGAGTTTATTATTGTATCTGAAGAATTTGTTAATTTTCATACATACTAACTAAATAAACAGAATGTTTGTCAAAGTGTGGGCTACAAATTAAGATGAATTAACCTTTGATGACATCGCTTTACTTACACTTACTAACAACTTTTCATAAAAACATTTTAATAATTTAAACCGCTATTGATGATAATTATTAACGCTTAAATATCATTTTATAAAAAATCATTAACAATTTAGTAGTTGATATAATTTTTTTTTATTTTTCAACCATAGGACCAATACGATTTTTCTTCAGCTAAAAGTTCTTCGACCTTACTACATGATTTTGAGATGTGGCTGTCCAGCGAAGCACCACTAACTCCAGACCGAGATTATGATTTAGCCATTTTACTTACTGAGTTCGTATTATCATCATCATCGTCGTCATCATCATCGTCATCAACATTGTCATCCTCGTCTTCATCATCATTGTCTTCATTCTCATCATATCAGCATCGTCATCATCGTCTTCATCGTCATCACAATCATCATCACCATCGTCGTCATCACCACTTTCCAACCTTCCCATCAACTCAGCCAGAACATGGAAGAGGTTTCTGGGATAACATTCGGGAAATCCATGTGCAGACCGGAAAAGATGGGAGCTGTTATCAGGGATATAGGACTCATACAGGCCTCTGATACTTTGGCACACGAAATTGCACACACGTTAGCAGCCATATTTTTTTCTCTCTCAGAGTTTCATTCTTTTTAATATAGCGCTATAAAAATACTTCAAATAATATTATATGTATTTATAAATGAATGGGCGAGTGAGTCATTGAGTAATTGATTGATTGATTAAATGAATGAGTGAGTAAATGAATAAATGAATGAATGAATGAACGAACGAACGAACGAATAAATGATCGACCAGCAGACTAACCAGCCATCCTACCGAACAAATCTAAACCCCCCCCCAAACAGTCTAGGTGCAGTCCATGACAGTCAAGTAGACCCAAGAAGCCGTGCAACATGTAATGATGATGACCAGTTCATAATGGCATCTTTCAGGCTGCCCATCGAGGGGGGCCTGAAGATGAGGAACTCCGTCCGATTTTCGACTTGCAGCTCGCAGCAGATTGCTGCACACGTGACGGAAATGAATAAGAAGTTTGTTTTATTATTATTTTTTTTATTATATATAGGATTATTATTTTTCTATTGAAAAGTTTTTATATTTAACATTTATACAAAGCCGCACACACCCAAACACCTACACCTACACACACACAAACACCTACACACACACACACACACACACACACACACACACACACACACACACACCTACACAAACACACACACACCTACACACACAAACACACACAAACACACACACTCAACGATAAAAGTAGGAAAACGAACTGCCTGCTAAATAGGCCTTCGAAATATTACACTGGAGCTAATATACCAAGAAATATCAAGATGACACGGGTTGGAGAGATGCTTACTCCAGATAAGCAGTGCAAATATGCCTACGGAAAAAATTACGTACATTGCCCGGTAAATAGCTTCACCTTTACATGCAAAAGAATCCTACAAATATTTTCTTATCTAATTCCAATAAATAAAAAATTGAATGAAACAAATTCAGCATAAGATAAAATGAAAAAACTTCTAGATATCTGTGATTTTTTTTTAACGAAAGACATGATTTTACTTTTATTGGAGGTGTATATTTCTTTTTTTTGTATGAAGGCCAATGAAAAAATTAACCAAGTTTGCCAAACTTTGTGGTGTCTGTTGCCACCAAATATGATGTGCCAAGCAAACGGAGTTACGAGAGGCGCAGAGGGTACGATGTGTGGGACAAATATGTGGTGTGTGGGGGCTCTGTGCCTGTCGAAACCTAAAAGTTGGTTGGCTGGTTGGCTGGCTGGTTGGTTGGTTTATTGAATGGTTGGTTGGTTGGTCGGTTGGCTGGCTGGTTGGTTGTTTGTTGAATGGTTGGTTGCTTGGTTGACTGACTGGTTGGTTGGTTAATTGAATGAATGGTTTGTTGAATGATTGGTTGATTTGAAGATTGGTTGGTTGATCTATAGCCTGCTTATTAGTAAATTCGACAAAAATCGTTAAGTTGTTACAAGTAAAGATTAATAACTTCTCTCGTGAATAACACCAGATCGTACGGAGAACAAAAAAAACAACAAAAATAACAACAACAACAACAAAAATAACAACAACAAAAAAAACAACAAAAACAAAAGCAACAAACGCAAAAAAGGCAACAAAAAAAGCAAAAACCGCAAAAACAAAAGATTCAACCAGATCAGCAAAACTAGTCACATCTTCACCAGTGGAAACAACACCGCGCACAAAGAAGGACAACTAAACACAACAACAACCCACACTTACATCAACACAAACAACAACACGCATGTCAACATCAGTGGCAAAACAATTAACGTCATTACGAAATTTAACGCTACTAACTATACCCCAAATCGGTCAAGAGCAATTAACAACAAAAACACCATTGCTACTACAAATGCAAGTATGGCCAACAAAAAAATCACACCCAACACTAACAACAACAACAACAACAGATTTTTAAATGAAACAACATCTTACAACAAGAATGCACTTAACACGACAAAAACTAACAACAACAGTAGCCTCACAACAACAACATTCAACAAGAAGTCGTCAGATGTTTCTAATAAAAAGGTCAAACCTAACATGACAACAAAAACTATCTCGAATAAAAACACTCTTGCCACCAGGAAAAACTACAGCAAAGACAACAGCAGCAGCAGCAACAACAACAACAACAGCAACAACAACAACAACAACAGCAACAACAACAGCAACGACAACAACAACAATATAATTGGCTTCACAAACATCACTCTCACACAAAAAAACACCACCTACACCAACAACAGCGCGAGAGGTTCCGTGCTTCAAACTGACGAACATATACAGACTTCGGAAAATAAAACGTTCACAGACGCTTACTCCAACTCCAACTCAACCTCGCCAAAAACCTCAACCAAATCCATTACAACCTCCACCAGCAGCTACTTCAACGTAAACCCTGAAGTTGAGGAAGATTTTTGGCCCTCTGACGCAGACAAGTATACAAACGTCGACGATGACGTCATAAATAAACATGAAAGTAACGGTGGTGACGTCACTGTTAAGAATGAAAAAAATGACAATATCAGTGAGAAATCAAACGATAAAAAATATAAAAAAGCGAAAAAGAAATTCAAAAGTAAGACTAAAAGAGTCAGAAATGGTAGCAGTAATCGCAAAAATGTGGAGTCGCCCAGCTTGCACGAAGACCTCAACAAAGCCATCAACTTAGACGAAATAGACCGAACTAGAAACAGAACCAACCCAAAATATAAAAATAATAACAAAAACAGAAAAAAAAATAAAAAAACTCCTAAGACTAAAACTAAAAGTGTTAACAACCAAAGAAACGACAACAAAGATTACAACAACAACAGCCGCAACATTAACAACAACAGAGTATCAGATAACAAAAGCCTAATAACTAAGAAAACAAAGTAATTTAGACCGAACAACTACAATATTGATAACGAATAAATTATGGAATAATTGAAATTCTTGATTTTTTTTATAGAAGGGTGATTGAATGTGGGTTATATAGACTTAAAATAAAATTTTAAACTTCGAGGAATAAATTTTTTAATTTGGGTTCATAGAAACACACGCGGGCACACAAACACACACATACACAAAGACGTACTTAGAAATATATTCACACATATAATACACACATTACTGAATTTATGATAGAAATATAAACAAATAATAAATACGACTGAATTAATGTTTTTTTCTTATTATATACATACTTGTACTGAATAGACAGTATAAAATTTCAAAATACAAAAAAAAGTCGAAAATTGTACGATTATTTTTTACAAAATTATACAAACGTGAAAATTTAATTAACCGAAAATGACAAATTGTCTACGGACATACAAGAAGCACCCGAAAAAAACAAATTCAGGACTATTCTATAGACATACCTGGCAGACAACAAGAGACACGTCTCAGGAAACAGAATCGAGCATGCATTTAAGTTGTCAAGCTGAGATATATGATTAGAAGTGGGAATTTCAGCTGTTATACATGTGTCATCAGCGTATTGTTGAAAGAGTGAGCCAAACGAGTTGATGATATTAGAAATAGGAGAGGTGTGAGTAGCGAAAAAAAATGGGACCAAGGACGGATCCTTGGGGAACTCAATAGATAAGGTGAAGCGAGAAGAAGAGTGGAATGAAACCAGGATAAGGCAGATCCCGTGATTCCATATTCTATTTCAAGTCTGTCAATAAGCATTTGATGATTATTATCGTCAAAAGCTGCTGAATGATCCTGGCTGACCATGACAGCATAATTTAAGAAAACATTGCCAATGAACGCAATGAATTTGTTTACAAGTCTAATTTGTACATGTTTCAACTTGTTTTTTTTATGAAAATTTAAAAATAAAGTAATATTTTTATATGGAAATATATTTTTTAAAATGTTTTCATTAATTTTCAACAATTCACTAGACCGATACAATACCAAGTTCCGCTTTCACATGCAAATTTGATTAATTGATCAGATAATTTTTAAATAAAACTTTTTAACTGAGAAATTGTATTCACATACTTAAAATTGAATACATAGAAAAGAAGTAATTGTTTAGCTGCTACAAAAATAAATAAATATGATAATTGTTGAGAATTTAATATACATAATTTTTAGAATTTTCAGGATGTTAAAACGATTTTTAGCGATGTGGTTCATGTCGTCCTGTCTGTTCTTTTCTTACATCGATTGTTCAGGTTGTAAATATTGTTTTTTTTTTCATTTTTAATTAGAAAAAATAATTTTATTGAAGAAAGAACATTCGTTAATTTGTATAGTGAAATATTTTTTAATTTGTTTCACAATTTTCTCGTGATGTATGTTAAAAACATGTGAAACAGTGACTCAAATAGATTTCATGTGGTAGTTGTGGATTTCTTTGTATTCAAACCCGGTCACTTCAACAGCATGGCCAGGCACATTAACCATTACACCATCAAACTTTTCAAAATATTACCAAAAGTTTCAGAAAGAAAAATATTATTTTTCCAACAACAATTGATACAATTTTTAGTTTGAAGACTACTTAAGTTTGATAAATCATTAAGACTCTCTTCAAAACCATCATCATCTTCAAACTCGTATTTTACGAAACTTCAGATTCGAAACAAAGAAATAGGTATAGAGAAATAATTGATTCATAAGCATTCAATTCTTAAACAAGCAATGTGGAATAAATGTTTTTCTTCAAATCATGCCGTCAACTGTTGAGTTATTTTGTCATAGTAATTTGATCATGTGTTTGAATTTTTGTCTATAAATATATCTTTTATTATCTGACAAAGTTTTTTAGAATTTTGAGACTAAGAAATATAAAAATTTATCTAAACTTTACTAACTACTAAAATTTTTGTAATAAAAGCGTTATATCTGTACAAAACTTGGAGATTTTAACTCTCTCCAATGAGCGATAGATAATTTTTTATGTTAAAATATTCCTTAATTCGTAAAATTTAATTAAAAATTAATTTATTATATAAAAATAAAAATTAATTAATTTAAAAATAAATTTAATTAAACATTTAAATAAATAAAAAAAAATTTTTTCGAATAATTTCATTAAAACTTCGTGAAATGCGTTTGTTTGTTCTAATAATTTTGGCCTACTCTCAAAACGCTATTGCTGGTTAAATTTAACATTTCAATCACTTTGAATGAATTTGAGTCAGTAAATAAATATATCCAGTGTCAAATTTAAAGTAGATCAGACAGACATGTAGAAAAATGAGAAAAAAAACTTAAATTGTAAATTATATTCTGACTAAAAATAATGTTTGCCAAATTTTTTAAAGGGCCAATCGTGTCTTGCGAATCGTAAAAAATTGATAAAAATTAAGGAGTAGGTAGTAGGAAAATTAGTTAGGCAGTAAGTGCCACCTCTTTTTCCTTGCTCTAGGTCTTTTTTACTTTTAATTCCGACCTTCTATTCAACGTTATATCAACTGCTATTAATAAAAATTTCATTACAAAACAATTTTAAATCCTAATACTTTCTTGAAACCAATTTTAACGTTAATAAAATTATTCTTCTTAGGAAACAACAAAACAGAAATTACGATAAAATATTTCCTAAAGCTAAAATAAATTTTCTTCAAATTTTAGATAAAAATCTAGCTCTCTTAAAGAACTCTACTGGAGATTCAGTGTACATAAACAACAACGTTTGTTTCAACGCTCGCGGGGCCACGGACGGCCGACTAAGCAACGACAGCCACAACTGCGGATGTTTTTTAGGCGGTGGACTGTCTGAAGTGGCGTGGCTGATGGTGGACCTGGAGGCACCATACTTCATAGACAGAATGACTCTTATTACAGATGCATATTCTTGTGAGTTGCTATTGTCAATTATTTATTTGAGTGATTATATATAATAATTAGGCTCAACTACTATCTCGAAATAAAATGCTAATTTAGAGATGCAAGCACCAGTGTTAAATACATGAGCGTGGCCTAAGATAACTTTTTTACAACTTGTTTTATTTATGCCAATTCATTGGTTGATACTGCAGGAATAAAACTGACTTAAAAAATAGTAAATTTACTACATAACTAATTCTCTTTCTAAACAATTCAGTCGGCTACATGTCTCATTTCATAGCCGGAGGCTCAAATGCTGGCAACACCCCTCAGAGAGGAACCTACTACATTTGCAACCAGTACGAATTCTTTATTACTATCTCAGATGCATACACTGTGAAATGTAATGCTAACATACCCGCCCTGAGGTACATTATAATTCAACAGAGAATAAATGCCGGGGCGTCTTTAAACGTTTGTGAGCTGCTTGTCTATGAAGCTAGAAGTAAAGGTTCGTTTGATTATGATATATTAGTGATACTGTGCAGCAAAATTCATGCAACCTCTTTTCAAAATAATTCAGACAGTAAACTATGGAACAGATTGGTAGACCGCAGACTGATCCAGACGGCTCTGTTATCTTTTGAGAAAAAATCTGTAAAGAGTTGTTTGGCACAGTGCAGCCAACTGAAATGCGATTCGGTGAATTACAACCCAAAGTCAGGCTCATGTGAGGTATTTGTACATCCGTTTGGATATTTCAATGGGAGCGTTCCTACTAAGGTTGTTGGCTGGGATTTTTGGAAACTCTTCTACGCTTAATTTGATGATGAAATCTTCTTGTTAACTTGTTGACATTTTTTTTTTTTTTTTTTTTTTTTGAAAAAATTTGTAGTCAGTTATTTCTAGAAAATGTTTACTGTCATATTTTCAAAGAAATGTTCTAGATACTTTGGATATTGCCTTTTTTTATACTTTTTCATAGTAAAAGTTGGTTTTGAATGTAAAATATTACATATTGTTTCTGATTAATTGTTTAATTATAATTTATATTGTTTTAAAAATTTTTCAGGAATATATTAATAATATCATAATTTTTTTCCATTTTTCTTATTAGATAGTCTACTTTTGTGATTTTGCTTAAAATCTATAAACGTGAGAAAACGTAATACTTTATATTTAAACTTATTAAACATTTTCAAACTCTGATTTAATTTTTGTTGAAATTTTATTATTTTAAATAACGAATTAAAATATTCTTTAAAACAAGTTAAATGTGATTTGATTTTTTTTCTTAATTAACAAAAGTTGCAAATGAATAAACTTAACAACCTAACAAAAATCATGCCTTGAAAGTTAGTACATCTATACAATAAGCTTCAAGTTATAAGTATCTTTCTTATCCTTCCCGTGCCTTATCCTTTCAGCACATTGGCGACCATCGACCTCCACAAAACCCCATCTTTACACTTTGTAGCAGTTGAAATGTGGTGATATTCAAAATTGACACAAGGACTTCACGAATGTTATTATAAGTGTATAGATACAATTAAATGGTTTTTAAGTTTAATTCTAATTTTGCAAAAATATTTCGTTTTACTTTAAAACTGTAAAAGATTAACCGATAAATAAGTGTTAAAATATATTGTCAAATCTATCAATTCATTTCAAATTTAAATCTCAAAAATTTTAAAATTCACGCGTAAAACAACTGCCAATAGTCCCAATCCTCAACTTTATTTGGGATGTTAACCTTATAATAGCCAAATGGATGCTGAAATATTTCGCAGGTAGACGTAAAGTTGTTATAATTAACTGCGTCGCAATTGAGTTGCATGCAGTTGATCAGACATGTGTGGACGGAACTTCTGTTGAATAGGTATGGAGTCAGTTGCATCAGCCTGTGATTTGGCAGTTGGTTCCAAAGTTTTGAAGCTGCAATTTTTATTTAGAAATGATTATATATTATTAATTGAATAACTTATTGATTAATTAATTAGTTAATTATTTTTTTTATTTGATAAATAACAGTTTAATCAAATAATTAACACAAAATTGAAAACTTAAAATATTAAAATAAACTCTTGTTCAATATAAACTCAGTTCAAATTTTTGAAAAAGTTAAAAAACCAGCAATTAACTACATACAATTATCTTTGGCTTCGAAGACTTCCAGCTCGCAGATATTCATCAGGGTATCGACATCCCACCTCTGCTGAACTATGACGTATCTAAGAGGCGGGATGTTGGCATTGCATTTCAAGATGGCCAGCTCCCACTTGTACAGATAGGATTCGTATTGATTGCATAGATAGTAGGAACCTCTGCTTGTGGTTTTGTTGTTTGAGCCGCCGGTTAGAAATTGGCGCATGTAATAATCTGGAAAAATTTTGACATTTTTTTCATCTTTAAAAAATTTGACTCTGTCACAATCTGTTAAAACAGGCGGAGTGGTGAGTCATTTATGAACTGTTAATTGTAGATTGTAAGAACTAGCTGAAAATGAATAATTTCTCTTTAAATGTTGTTACATGTAATTTGTGTTTTCCTATATCCAGTTAAATACGTTTGAAGCTGTTGGCAGAGGTAGATCAAAATTCGTTTAAAAAAACTTTCTCAAAAAAATCAAAAAACATTAATTATATTTCAATATTTTGTATCTCTATATTCATCCAACTTACATGAAAACTACCAAAAGGAAAATGACGTTAAAACTCACAGAGATATTTCTCAGGGTATAGAATAATCCTATTGATAAAGTAAGAACTTTCAAGATCGACCATCAACCAACTAATCAAGGACTGACCCCCAGATATGAAACAATGGCCATCGTATCTGTTTAGTGCATAGTTTCCATCCGTTGCCCCGTATTCGCGAAACAGCTGGTGGTTTCCCAACACGTTGTTGGTTGAGGTGTTTTTGTAGAGAGCTAAGTTCTCACCTTCAAATATAGTTGAATGAGAAATTTAAATTTTTTTGATGTTTAATCGTGTAGATGGAAAAATTAATTGTAAATTTTACATCTTTGGTCAATTTTTGTGTTGGTAATTGTTTGAAAATCATGTTTATATATGTATAGGATATACATATTCTACTAAACATGTGGGCATTGTTTTCTATTCTCTCTGAAAAGAAAGTCAAAAAATTATTATGTCATCTCCCACAAAAATGACGATTTTACTGGATCCTATACCGACTAAAGTCTTTAAAGAATATTTGGGTTATTTTATTGTTTTTCTGACTGAAATGGTTAATCTTTCTTTAGTCACAAGTGTTATGCCTCAATCCCAAAAATATGCTGTTACTATTCAGATTTTGAAAAATCTTATTTGGATAAATTTGATGTTGAAAATTTCAGACCGATTTTGAATTTATCTTTTTTGTCCAAAGTTAACACTTGAATAGTACCAATCTTATGCTGCAGTACCAGTCAGGTTATTGTAGTTTTCATTCAACTGAAACTGCGCTTTTAGAAGTTTTTTCTAATTTCTACACAGCAGTAAACTATCAGAAGGTTACTAAGTTATCATTACCTGACATGAGTTCAGCTTTTAACTCTGTTAATCAGCGTATGGATATGTTAATGGATAGACTGAATTATTTGTACCGGGTATCGGTATCAGGCAATGTGTTATAAAGGTTAGATTCATTTTTAACTAGACGAACGCAGCTAGCGAAGTTTTTTAACAATCTGTCTGATGTAGTTGTTCTCAGGTCATGGGGCCAATCCTGTTTCTTTTGTACACAACTGAGGTTATTAATACTGATTGTAGATTTGTTTCAGAATTAGTGAAGATGTCTTCTTTCCAACTGCGCCAGATTAGTCTGATATAAAAGTTTTTAAACAAAGATGCTCTCAAGTCACTGTTGCACGCATTTATTAACACTAGACCGGACTATTGCAACTGTCTTTTATACGGAATATCGGATAAATGGATTTTGGGCACAGAACAAGGTTGCTAAGATTATTGCTGGGTGTTTAAGATTTGACTATGCCTCTCCAATCTTATGGAGTTACATTGGCGGTTTACAAAACAAAGAATCCTGTTCAAGTTGGCAGTAATGGTATTTAAATGCCTAAATGGTCTGGCTTCTAGGTACCTTTCGGGCAAATGTATTAAAATTTCCTCCCTGGAAATTTATGGGCAATTGAGGTCTACCAATTCAAATAAATTATATGTACCGAAAATAAATTTGAAATCTAGTAGCAAAGATTTTGCCGTTTCAGAACGGACGTTTTAGAATAGACTTCCAGATGAACTTCGTCAATCGAGATTAACGCTCTAAGAATTTAAAAGACGCCTAATGACATATCATTTTTATTTATCATTATTATTTTTTTATGAACAGGGAGTGCTGATGAAAATTTTTAAATAAAATTAGCTCTATATAAATTTTAACAATCATAATAATGATGATGATGACAATTCAAATATCTAAATTACTGTAACCACAATTTTAAAACACAACATATAATTATAACTTTAAAAAATTCACTTGTAAATAAGTTCGATAACTAAATACCTGAAAAATGCTTCATAAACATGATGAAGTTAATAAAATCTCTTTCATATATAAATTTTAATGAGGTAATTTTAAAACAACGAACAATGTTTAGGCTGATCAGATCACTTTGTATAAACAGAATTATTCAACAATACCAGAGCCAAACCCATTGTGTTAGCTTGAACGCCATAAAAAAAATCTAACCTGAAGCTGCAACAGCTGTCTGTATCAAAAAAATTAAATAAAAATTCATTTTCAACTACGCGAGGTTTTAAAAAAATGAAGTTCAGTCAAATTCTTCAAAGTTTTCCTGAATATTCTCAATTAAGTTCCAACGAATTTAAACAACAAAACTCTTAATGTTTCAAAATAACAAATAAAATTATCCTTTATAAACTGAAATATTCTACCTTCATCAATTGTGAGTAATAAAAATGTAATAAACTTTTTCAAACCCATCCAGCTGTGACACGCTAACAGCCCATGAACGTATTTGCAAATTTTCAAAAACGTCTCCAACAGACGATAAAGTAAATTCAAAAAGGTAGCCATGGGTAGATACACCAGGACTGAATCCTTCCTACAACTGAAAATTCATTTTTAAAACTATAATTTTTTTAATACGACAACAAAGTATAGTTTAACATAACTAAAAATGCCTTTTGTTGTGATAGACACATTTTAAAACGTTATGGTGAATAATAAAAAAAATTTTTTTTTCCTGGCTACTCGACTGAATGACTAAATTCGTGATTGATGGTAGTACTACCTGTATTTTAATTGTTTGGAAGTTTTTGACGTAGAGAAAAGAATAATTGTTTTCAACAATTTGTGAGTAGAATGAAAAAAATTTTTTCAACAATTTGTGAATGCTTCCCAACAGACAGACAGACAAAACGTCGCCGTAATGCTACAAAAAATTGTATTTATTATTTCCACGATATAATTGTCTATCCTTCGGAAACAGTTTCTCGTCATTTATGTTCTTTAATATTTTAAAAACAAATTTAAAACGCATTTTCTCATAATTGGACATGTTAGTTACTTTAAATTTATCAAAAATAAAAACTAATGGGTTGTTAATTAAATGGGTTTTTAAAAGTAAAAAGTAGCCATAAAATAGATTTTGTAATGAAAATGTATACATGAAGATTGAAAAAGAGTTTATTCAAACATAGTTTTTTATTGTTATCTTTTTTCTTGCTAAAATTTTTTTTGTTTGATAATAAAAGTAACTGAATTCGAATATTATGTTTTTTACTTAATTTGTTCAGAAAAATTGAATTGGATAAGTATTGTACTGCTTTAGCAGTCTCAGTATAGCATTTTGTTTGTTTCGTTTCGTTTCATCGTTTCGTTTCGTTTCCTATAGTTCATATGTACCTCTCAAAATAGCAGTGAACTTTCTGAAAGCTTGGCAGACCTACCTAGAAATGGATAGATGGCATTGCAGTTTGGAGTAGGATGAAAATGCTTAAAAAAGTTGTTCAGCGAGTTAGTACGGTTGGTAGAACTGTCATACTGTCATGCATCACGATGTTGTTTAGAACATATGTTAGAATTAAAACTGTTTTCAATTCTACGCAGGGCTAGACTTAAAATTGGATAGGTATTGGGTAGGCCCTTCCTACTGTCCCTGTATCCTCCAAAAAATGACCCCTACAAGGACCACAACCGAACAAGAAACAATGAAACCGTGCAGCGTGAGTTGTTACATATAAGCCATTAAAAGAGTAATATTCTTTCTTCACGTTTCATGCCCTAAAACTCTTATTAATGCTTTTACAGAAATACTTGATTGGAAATAACAAGAAAAGTAGTAAAAATTACAGTGCTCTTGGTGAGATAGCTGAAACTAAACGCTGACAATTACTGACTCAACATCATCACCAATGTTAGTGTGTTAATTTTTAAAATAAAACTTTAATGTCTAAGTGGAACTTTAATATATAAGCATAAATAAGTGAACAAGTTTTCACTAAAAGCCAATAAAATAATTGTAAGTTATTTAATCTACAAAAGGTTAGCAGTTTTTTTATGGTGCCTAGATCATTTATTAGTATCTAGATAGTTTAGATAGAGTTAAATTTAAAAAAAAGGTATTATATTCAACTTGAGACATATTTGAGTATGTTAATAAAAATGTAATAATTACCGTGAGAGACTACATTTTATCAGTAAGTTAGAGACTACATATTATCTGACATGGGTCTGGAAAAAACTTTATTATTTCATTGTATTATTATGTGACTGTTTGTTTAGTATAATATTTCTAGTTTGAGAGATTTTGTCAGATCTGGATTCAATCTCCCTCCTCGCTGAGAGGTTTTTTGTCTTTATTTTATTTTTATTTTTTTGTAAACAAATTTGCAAAACTATCGATGGAATAATTCTATTAAATTTTTTTTAACGCTTATTTAGTATTTAGTTTTCCTATTTCACAGATCTTTGCCCGAAATATTTTAATAAAGTCATAACGTACAATGGCAAAAATGGCAAAGGGGCAAATATTACTCTGAATAAAAAAGTCGCTTACAGTTCTGAAATGGGCAGTCCTGGAAATGTCTTAGTAAGAGTTGATCATTTATTTCTATCAGATAATAAATCAGGGCCGAATTTACAAGTGTTGTAGAGGCCCCGGACAACAAAAAAGTGGAGCAGCGATATTGGATGTCTCTAATTATTTCATAGAATTTACGATGTAAATTTTTTATTTAACCGTGAAATGGTTTCACAGAAAAATTTGAATTAGTTGAAAATGATCAATTTTTAGTATGGTTGGTTCAAAATTTCTGATCTATAGTACATAGTGCCAAGCACGGCAACTGGATAGATGGATACTAAATGTGATATTCCTTTGTCAGTTCGTTGTGCTTGTGATATTGAATTTTAAGTTAACCGCTTGGTTGAACTTAAAAAAAATTTCTTATTTGAATTAGTTTAAATTTGATCAATCAAATGACGAAAGAAATCTAATGTCAAACGTTTTAAACATGTTCGTTTATACTTTTTTTTACGGAATTTTAAATGAATTCTATTAAAGTTTAAATCAACACGTACGGATGATTTCATAAATGTTTATTCATTTATGACCTCAAATTATATTTCTCAAAAGTTTATTAATAAATAATAGATTTTAATATTTGTAAATTAGACAGGATCTAAGACATGCAAATTCTGTGCTCACTTTCATTTTCTCTGAATAAATTAAAGCAATAAACTCAAATGAATTCATAATAAATATCCAATCACAAATATTTTTGAATAAAAAATTTAATATTAAAAAATTCAGAAAAATAAGACACGATAAAACCTGTAAAGTAAAATGAAAAATAAAACCAAGTGACCGACTAGTAAAAGAATTCTTTGTGAAACTAATTTAGCAAAAAGAACTTACAAACGTATTTCTCACAAGTCTTGCAACATTCGTAGGTTGATTCTTTGCAGCTGGCTACCTTTTTCTTCTCCGTGTTCAAATTTTGTTTACACCAGTCCACAAAGCGATCCTCTAAGCACCAGTCTGTTTATTGAATTATTTCCTTATTATGTATATATATATTTATAGTAGAAAATTATATATATTAGAGCGAATTATTTTAGTTTACGAGAGCAGATTTTTCAAACTAAAAGCTAATTTTCGGACGTTGTTTATTAAATGTAAAAGTTTAATAAATAATCGTAATATAGTCTCTTGCATACTGTTTTTATAGACTAGCAACTCATATGCTTAGAAAATGTTTAATATTTGGTTTTAAGTAAATTCACATGAATATTGTTGTAACTCTTGACATTCGTAACTACAAACACCGATGTTATAACTTTAATGATCTTTATATTTTCAATTTTAATGTTTTAGTTTCAAATGATCTTCAAAGGTTCGTTATTCCGTAGGTTCAAGATTTCCGATAGATGAACACAACCGCTTCAAACGCATAACCAATAATATAGCGCAATTTGATCATTCCCGCGGTTTTAACAATATGTTACTTAATAAAAGTGATCATTTAAATTTAATTTTAGGTTCTCAACTCAATAGAATTCTAGGAGAACTTGTTAGAGACTTATAAACGAATATAACAAGCTAAAATAAATAAAAATAAATATGAAAATAGTCATATTCAAGGTAAAATAAATGAAAATAAATCCAATTTAAAGGTTATCCGAAAAATATTACATACTTGGGTTTTCAGCTCTACAAGCCCAGCAACAATAGCTCTTAACTTCGGTTCTGTTGCAGAAGTTTCGCGGATCCTTCTCCACGTCCTGACATGAGTATCTCTTGTTGCCGATTGGGAATGTTATTTCCGGAGTGTTTCCGTACATGCATGTGTCTGTGTTTGTTTGTTCGTTTGTTTGTTAGTCTGTCTGTATGAATGTATGTGTGTTTGTTTGTTTTTTTGTTTGTTTGATAGTTTATCTGTTTGTTTGTTTGTCTGTTTTTATTGTATTTTGTGCCGTGAAGATGAAAACTTATAAAAAAATCTATCCGCATTACATTTTAAACAAAGCTTTTGATAAAAATATTCTAGCTTGAGTGTGGTACCAAACAATTGTTATCAACTTAAAAAGTTATGTCAATGAAACAAATAATTTTGGAGAATAATCATTGCGAAGTTTTTCATAAAAAAATTTCACACCATTTGCCGCGGGTGCGTTTGGGTTACTGACACACCTTCCAGCAGAGCACCACATCTTGTTTCCGCACGTCGTCCCCGGCAAGCCCTTACCCCCATCGTATGTACACACTTGTCTCTCAACGTCCCAGCATGTGTAGTGGGAGCATATGGATTTGAAATCTCCATTTTCAGGCTGTTCTCAACATGAATGTTTAAAATACTATTTCTGTATGTATTCCACACATATGAGTGAGTTGAGTTTGAAACATAGTAACAATGCTGGAACAAAATTGAAATGTAAATTGAAAAAAGGGTCAAACGAAGCGTCTTACGTTGCAAAACTTGAATGATGGGAGGCCATAGACCAGCTGGCATTGTTCATCTGGTGTGTGGAGTGTCCCTGGCAAATAACTTGCAGGTATGGCGACCTCTTCATAGCTACCAATTACGTTTGACCTCGACAAACAATTTTTACCTTCGCTAAGGGGTTATGCAAATTTGTTAATTCACTGCGAGATTTAATTTATATTCAGGATTTTATTTTCGTTTAAAGTTAATTTCGTTTTTTATGATGCTATATTGCTATATTTCATACATATTCTCTCGTGAAATATTATATCAAATTTGATTGTTGTAATTTTGAAGATAACTTCTGTTTGCGTGTTGTCATACAGCATATATTATTGTAGTGTCATATAGGTATCTCATTATCTTTCACTTTTGAATAAACACAATTTCTACATTTTAAAAAATCATTCATTGAGTAAAATTGTATAATGTAGAAGACCGATTTTTAGGGAATTAATTTAGGGAATACATTAAAAATTAATAAGGTTCAAACGTCAACTTGAATAAAACAGAAAATAAATTCCAAAATAGTCTACAAAATATTTTTATGATTAACACCAAGACTAACTTTTCAAGTTTGAGAGCTAATTTCTCCAAATCTACTTTAGAGCAAAAGGAGAACTTGTCGTAATTATTTTTGTCGTATTCATCGCGAGACGGACTCATCAGATAGTTATCAGTCCCGCGGCAGTTGTTCTGATACCCGTCATGTCCTGACCCTAATCTGGTTAAATTAAATGCAAAATTTAGAAAAATGTTCACCAGATTTTTGAAAAGTATAAGCGTTGCCGACTCTAGAAACTTTCCAACAAAGGAAAGGGCTTTCGAAAAAATGAAAATTTTCACGCTTTCCTGACAAGACAGTACTTGCGAAAAACATCTAGATACTAATAGAAAGCAGTGAAATCAAATTTGGAAAATGAACCTAAAGAAAAGAAATTTGATCATGGAAATGGAAATGAAGAGAAATAGGTGGAATAAAGGTCTTATGTAGTTAAAGGTACTTGTTCCGTCGTTAACCGAAATTTCTACACTCACATGAACAATTTCGAGTTATTTAACGTTGAACGAGCGAGTTTACAGAAACAGAAAGAATTTCCCCAAGAACAAATAAAATGGAGAAGAGCGAGCAATATAACAGTATATATAATTTTGTTGCTTACATGTGCGCCATTTCGTGTGCAGCTGTAAACGTGGTGGTTTCCAGGACAGTGTTTCGTACGATACCCAAACTAAAGGGGGTGCACGCTCCTTCGGTGTTTGCCAGCCCGTGGAAAGTGCCAGACGAGTAACTAGAAGAAGAAGAATAAACAAAAAAAATATTATTGATCTTCCGTTTGTAATTTTAAAGAGAGGAAAATAAATTGTTAGCACGGGGAAGAATTAGAAAAAAAACCACTAAATCTGATTTTTTATACTTCATGAACAATCTTGAAGAAATTGTCAACAAATATAATCAAACACATCATTTAAATTTTATTGATCAGTTATAATAATTATTATATATAATTGAATTTTGTTAAATTATTGAAAAAATGAACCCATTCGGATTGAGACTTAAACGTGGTTTTAAAATTAAAATCATGACGTTTTGTTAATTATTAACAATAAAAAAATTTCTGGGTGACATCAAATAGCAAAAAACCTTGTAAAAGCAATCGCCAGATCAAATTTCAACGAGCTCAGCTTCGGGTTTGAAGGTCTGTTGGCATTCCACTTACCAAATTCTTTGAGAGCTTTGTCAATGTTGAATTCGTGTTCACCAGTTTTGTGGTTCTCTATGAAATATGACTCTTCTGCCGTCTAAATAATTGTTAAATGGTTTTATAAACGTAAATTTTTGGTCCAGTACAGTTTTTAATTCAACTTCACCTCGCAAATGTAGTACCCGACGATTTTAACTGAATAAGTATATCGTATTCCACTGATTCCTTGGTACAGTTTGTTTACCTGTAAGGAATAATTACCATTGCTTTCATAGTAAAGTTATTTACATGTAAAGAATAATTATAAAGACAAATTTGCCAATTTAAACAAAAATCTTTTTCAATTTTGGCAAACTTTTGTTCAATGTATGTTGAGAATGTTTTGAGTAAAATTTAACCCCTTGAGCAATAGCTCCAAAATGGTAGCGAAGATGTTGTATGGCTGTTTCTCTGTTGTTTTTGTTGACACTTAGCCATCTTGAATAAGAAAAATTTAAATAAATGATTAACTTTTTAGTTAGAAAATTATTGTAAAGTTGTTAATATTAATATCACGTCAGGAACTATTTCAAATACAAATTTATGTAATTGGCACTAGCTGTGACAAATTTTTGTCGAAGAATCATCTCGAATACAGATGAATATTTAGAAAATATTAATTCGTCTTGATGTTTTATCTAAAACGTGATTTCAAATACAAAACAGAATCTTTAGAAGGAATAAATTTTCAAAAAGTAAAATAAATTCTTACAGTTTGTATAGAGAATAGTCAATGATGTACAAAGCTTCGACTAGGAGATCACCACCGGCCCGCTTTAGACGAGAGTTTTCACTAGTTTCAACCACATCTTGCGTTTGTTGAATCAAAAAGATATTAATTCGTAATAAAAAATTTACTTTATTTTCATTTTTAATTGTCGGTTTTCGTCAAAGTTTTATAAGTACCAGGGTATAAAATGATTATATTGTTGTGTAAAATATGGATGCGAATGTATGGATGAATAAATGAGTGAATGAATAAAATTATCAATTGTTTGAGCTGTTTTAGAAAATCAGATTGAACAAACATAATTGTAAGGAGTGAATGAATTGAAATTACATGGAAACCAACAGAGAAGAGATTAAAATGCGTTAGACTATTACAAAACTATGTTAACAAATAGGTATACAGCGTTAAAAATAAGGATTACATTGTTAGCGATCAAATTTTAAACTATTTCCAATAGAAACTCACAATTTTCAGTTTCTCCGCTATACTCTGGAATTCCACAAACCAAAGTAGAACCGCAAATAACCGAAAATGCAGCAATCAAAATCAAACGCATTCTGAACGTTCGAAGCGTTTGAAAGAAGAAGCTGACGGTTCATTGCAGGCAGTCCTCGCCTAATTTAAATGCAACCTTGAATCGATATAATGCGAAACAACGCTCCAGACGCTAGGCAAATACTACGCAGAGATAAAATACAACTGTTTATTTAAGGAAAATTGTATGATAATATGTTTTTGAATTTAGTCGGTAAAATGTTCTTTTTAAGAATTACATGTTGTTTAATGCATTATATTTCGGTTTTATTTCATTATATAATTAATCCCAGTCAAAAGTGCTTGTAGTGCTTGTCTAGTGAGTTAAGCGTGCTGGTTGAAACGATACATCCACATGTGAATCACTTGAAAAATATGAAATTATTACTTTTAAAATTAAAAATTTCGAATTTTTTTCTACGGGTGGATGATTTGAAAAAAAGAGGAAAAAATTGCAGAGTGCTGCAAATGTGTGGTTCGGATGTAATTCTATATCCTACAAAAATATACCCCCGCCCATTTTTTTCTCGAATGGAATACGTGCTTATTTCAGAGTAGAAACAAAAAATTCTGATTTCTTTTTTTATTAACTTCTATTCATTTGTGTAATTAGCAACGAGTTGGGTAACAGCTCCAGAAAATGTATAGAGTTTGTTGTCTGTGGCTATTAAGTAAGTCTACTGAGTTTTATTTTATAGATTTAAATTAAAATTAAATATTATTCAATCGTTTAGAACAATATGGGAAACAAAATTTAATGATTGATATTATTACAAGTAAATATTCTATTGAATCGTATGATGATGTAATGGTTTATACCTCTGAAACAAGTGCTAGAAAGAGAATAACTTTTAACCGTTAGTCTTCGACCTTTAAAACCTTAAAAGTTTTAAAGATGAAATTGTGTAGAAAGTAAACGCTTTTTGTATTAACAACGAGAATCATGGCACATATAATGCCAATGAAGTGAAACATTTCTTGTGTTTATTTTTTAAATGGGTTTAAGTTAGTGAGAATAAAACAATCCGAAACAGTTGTTTATTACAAAACCATTCCTAAATGAATGTTCTAAAAAATTATTTTAAATAATAATTTTAAATTTTTGAAAACAATTAGTCAATTCTACAATCAATGAAATAAATGTTCATAATTTTTATATTCTTCGAATGTGAAATTTTGAATTTCTCATCATAGCATAGAGTTGGACGGTAGGATGAAAATAGATGGATGGCCCATGGAATCATTTCAATTTTTCTTCTCTTAAAAATTAAAAAATTCATTATGAATTAAAAATATTCAAATAAATTTATAAATAAAAGAATGAAAGAACGAACCAATAAATAACTAATCCTACACACAAATGAATGAATACAGGAATTAATGAATAGAGGAACGAACAAATGAATAAATTAAATTAAACTAATTGTTATCATTATCAGTAAAACATTAAAAAACGAATACTACTTTAATATTTATTAATTAAAAATTAAACATTTTAATAGGAAAAAAATCAAAAAATTTTATTTTAAAAACCCAAAAAAGTACATACTCAAATATTTGTAACAGGTATTGCAGCACATTTCAGCAGCATACTCCGGGCATAATCTCTGTTTGTCACTTTCATTTCTCAAGTTTCTTTGACACCATTCGTGTTGAGGGTCCGATGCGCAGACACCTGTGATTGGTCGTTGATTTTTGTGGCGTTAAATTTAAAATTCAATTTAAATTTTGCGACTTTTGTGTTGAAAATATTAATAGCTTACATTCTACTGGGCTGTATCAATTACTATTTTTAACAAGTTTGAAAAATTATTGTAACTTTTGGAAGATTCCAAAAATTCTTGAAATCTAGATATTTCAATGAATTTTCAACTTTTTTAAACTTCGAAATAAACTATTTTTGAATTTGTAAAAAAAAAACACAATAATGACAGTTAAAAAGTTCTGCTCTAATGTGAAAAGAAGGAAGAACAGAGCGAACAAAAACATGAGACGGTGACAAACCTGAAGCTGTGTTAGGGCAAGTTTTACAGCAGAATGACCTAACGCCCGGAATGTTGCAGCCTTTTAGGTTCGACTGGAAATTTTTACATGAGTAGAGTCTACCGTCGTTGGCTTTGAATTCACCGGTGAAATCTCCAAACATGCACGGATCTGTTGTTTAGTTTGTGTGTGTGCGTGCGTGCGTGTGTGTGTGTGTGCGTGCGTGTGTGTATGTGTGTGTGTGTGTGTGCGTGTGTGTGTGTGTGTGTGCGCGCGTGGTGTAATCGAGTCTATCAGCAGATATCAGCATTGAAGTTCACTTTTGAAAATAATATAGAAATTGATCTTTTGAAACTTTAAAACAGTTACACCTACTTCGTCAACGTAGAACATTAGGCTTAACTATTTATACAGATCCATGAGAAAGAATAAGTTTGATAAAAACATATTTCAGACATGCACATCAACATGAACTGCTGTTTATGTTTATAACAATTCAATTACATATAACTGAATGTTTTACTACAAAATGAAAATTATCACATTTTACATTTTTCCAAAATTTTCAAGAATACTAAACTTTTACAATGTGCTAAAACCTCAAAAAAATCTTTCTTAAATTCTCCCCCCCCCCAAAAAAAACCTTTCTTTTCAGAAGCTTTGTCATCACTGACGCACTTATCACCAATGCACCACATCTTGTCACCACACGGAGTTCCTGGCATCGCCTTTCCCCCGTCGTACGAGCAAAACTGCTTTTCATTATCGTAGCAGGTAAATTTGGAACATATCGAGGAATAGTTTCCGTCTGTTGGCTAATGTTTTTTTTTCTCACAAAGTTGAATGAATTTAACCAGTTTTATGTTCTACGCTATGAACTTAGCGATTCTTAGCGATTCTTAGCGAACTTAGCAAGTATTGTTAGTGAAGAAGCGTTTAATCAGCTTGATATAATGAATTGTTTGTGGTGGAAAAATCTGAGATGAAATCGAATTTAAAAAATTGAATCTTTTTATGGAAAATGTACTTATGACAATGACATATGGACAAATTGACAATTTTAACTTATTAAAAGGTGACTAACATTACAGAATTTGTACTTGGAGTTTCCATACATCAAGTGGCATTGTGCATCTGGCGAGTGAATTGTCCCCGGTAGATAACTTGCTGGCACTTCTATATCTTCGTGCTTGTCGTTCAAGTCAGTTTTCAACATACAGTTCCTTTTCTCGCTTAGACGTTTGAAAGATATTGTTTAGTTGAGGATAAATTTCATTGTTTGAAATTATCAGACGTAGAAGATTCGTTGATACATTAATAACTATAGACTCGACTGCACCTTTACTTTTATAATTAAATCAGTTTCAGAATTCTTAAACAAAACTTAAAATACATACAACTGAAAAAAATCAACCTATCCAATTGTGTGACATAGTCGTCTAATTCTTTTTTCGAACACGGAGAGAATTGGGTGTAGTTGTTCCTATCGTATGTGTCACTACTGCCACTCATCAAGTAGTTGTCCTTGCGGAAGCAAGTGTTCTGGTACCCGTCATGACCTGCTCCTAAACTGAAGGAAGTTCATTTTGTTAAATTATTTGAAGAAAAAAATATGCTTTATAGGTTACAGAAGTTTAATTTTTTAAATATTTGACAAGAAAGTATTCAAATTTAAATTTGTAAAAACAAAACACTTTCATCTTTAAAAGTTTTGATATAAATTTCAGTAGCTAGAAACCATTGTAAACATTTAAGCATATATCAATTATTAATTTATACTTTAAAAGTTTCTGCCAATCTTGATGGGAATGATTTGTGAATAAATAATTTGTGTGGACTTTTTCCTAATTGCTTACATGTGACCAATTTCATGAGCCGCGGTGAATGTGGTCGTCAGCTGACCCAAATTTCTTACAATTCCGACACCTCCAGTTGTACATGCGGCCTTCGGGTAAGCCAGACCACGCATTAAACCTGAAGAGTAACTGAAAATCAAATGAAACCATTTTAAAAGTAAATTATTTTGTTCAAGAAAGTGTTTTTTTGAATAATCACCTATAAAATAGTGCACGCTATGTATATGAATATTTGATTACATTATACACTAGAAACCGTTATTACAATTTTCCCGGCAAGTTGATCCCGGCTACACCCGCACACACCAGGATCAAACATAACAGGTTTGAGTTTAGTGGAATTATCTTTAGACAAACCAAGAAAAAAACGTTCCAAAAATCGTAAGCTGGGATAAAATAAAAGATTTTCAAGAATTTTTACTCATAGTTAAATGTAATTTTTATTTTAATTTTTCAAATTTATATGAAAAAAAAAAACAAAACACCACCTCGTAAAAACAATTGCGAGGTCAAATTTCGGTAGAACGACATTGCTCTGTTTTGACTCCAAACGCTCCCCATTCCATTTTGAGAGTTGAAGGAGTGCCGCGTCTATGTTGAACTCGGTCTCTCGAGTCTTGTACCGCTCGATGAAATCCGAGTCGGATGGTGTCTAGAAGATTTTTAAAACTTTTCGAACAAAATTCATTTAAAAATTTATTTTAAATACTTAGTTTAGATTGTCTAATTATTTTTAATTTCTTAATTTTTGAGATTCCATTTTTTTCCAAAATTTTCTAACCTGGCAGATATAATACCCGACCATTTTAACTGAGTACTTGTATTTCATACCATCATTCCCTTGATATACACGATCGATCTAGCAATAATTACAACAATTTACTTTCAAAGAGTAAAATATATCAATAATAGACTAGAGTCCAACTAAAAATAGCTTTCATTTGGAATTAAACTCATTGGCAAAGCAAAAATTGTTAAACAAAAAGCTGTTTTAATGTCTACTTACTCCTTGTGCAATTGTAGCAAAGTGGTATCGAATCGACTCTATGGCCTTATCTTTATTGTTTTGGTAGTAAGTCATCCAGCTTGACAGGTTGATCGAATTTTTCAAATTTAAAAAAGTGATTTTATTTTATAAGAAATCATTCCGAAAACAAATTTTGATTATGAAATTGCAGAATTAAACAACAAAAAGTCAATTTTAAATGATTACAGTCTGTAGATGGAATAATCGAGTATGAACAAGGTTTCCACCACGAGCTCTGGAACTCCTCCATCATCTCTCTTGAAACGTGGATTGACATTGTTAGAACCTTTACAATAATGATTTAAGTTGAAAATTTATCTAAAAATTTAAAGTTAATATAAGATTAAATAAAAAAAATTGTTTAATAAAACATTAATTCGATTAGTTGTTTGATTATTCGTTCGTTTAATCATTCGTTTGGTCATTCATATTTCAAATTAAACAGGAAAATTTTGAAAAAGTCTTTAAAATTTTAAGAAAAACCAGACTCACTTTCAGCCAAATATTCAGAATTGGCGTATATTTCAAGCAGGAAACTTATGAAGATAACACAAAATACGTTCACTAGACGCATATTGTTAAGTTAGTTGGTTGTTCAAGCAGAGATATGCTTTTTGCTATGGCTTGTTTAAATATATACGAATAATAAATCAATTAAAAGCGTTACGATATTTTCTGACGCAAACAAAGCTCATTTGACTGAAACTGTTTACATAGTGAGCCAACTTTTTCTCATTTTTACTAAATAATTATCAGTATAGCAGTATTTTTTTTTAGAAGGAAGTAATATTTCTGATGATCCTGACATTTTCTCTCTGGAATATTACTAATATTTTAGCCTGATTGAGAAAGATTAATGTTTTAGTATATTTTTTTAAACATTTCCACGATCATTGTAAAAATCTGTATGTAATTTTGAATCATCATTTTTTTTTCGAAAAATGCTATTATTTTTCATAACGACAAAAAACGCTATTTAAATAATGTCTGAGCAGCAAGAGGCGCTCTGTGCTTTATAACGCGTGGTTTAGATTTTTTTACAAATTTTACCTACCTAGATACTATTTTTTTTTTATTTTAGTTTTTCACTGAATAATTTAGCAAACTTTTGCAAAATCTTACTCTCAATTGGAATCCACGGACCATGATGGCAAGGTAATTTATATAATTTATATTGTGTGGTATGTAAAAATGCAATAATGGATAACTATAAGCAATTTGTTTTATGCCTTGGAAAATATTCATAAATGGAGAATGAATTTCGTGTATTATCATTTTTAAACATTATTTCCTAAAAAAGTCATCTAGTTTTGTCAATTATCCCTGATAGTTTTTAAATTTTTTTTTTCAAACGAAAATTTTCCTCTTTGAAAGATTCTATAGCATGGAAAATTTAGAGTGAATTTTTATTGGACACATTTTTCAAATCCATCTTAATGTGTCAACAATAGCGATAAAACATTTTGCTCAATTCATATCAGATCATGTTGATTCGTACGTTGGTAAATATTTTAGATTTACTGGGTTTTTAATTCATCGTAAAGAGAAGTTCCATCAAAAAAGTTTAAACCATATCAGAAATTTAGGTGAATTCATTTTGTTTCCAAATACCTTTAAAAAAAACTTGTGAAACAAACTCAAAATATCAAATTATATTATTTAAAATGATCTGTCAATTTTTTTATCTTTAAATAATTAAATAGATTGAAGTCTTAATCAATCTGATGTTTTTCACGATATTCAAGGATCTCGATAGAATGAAACCATTATACGTACTGCAAATAAATAGAATTAAAAGTTACATTAGAAAAATACAAAAAATAAAAAAATTATACATAATTAATAAATAATTAGTAAAATAATCGTTAGAGCGCCTGCTAAAAGCAATATGAATATCATTAACATGATCTTGTGTGAAAAAATGTAACAATGAAATTCAGTATACCGTGATTTTATCACAGACAACGTAGTCAACACCATCAATCATTGTATGAACGCAGTATATAGGGCAAATCCACTGGCCAGTGAACAGCTCTAGGGTGTAACCAAAGTTTTCTACTCTGAATTTGCCACTCTGAAATTTTAAAAATGAAAAAAAAATTTGTGATGGTTTTTTTAATGATTTTTTTGGTCGGTTGCATGGAAAGAACTCTTAGTAAAAGCCTTTTTTTCTACTTTTTCAAAGAGAATTTGATCTTTACATTATTGGTTTTTCTAAATTTTTATGCTTGTGGCAAAACTTTTGTTGAAAATCTTGACGAAAATCTTTACGTCCTCATACTAAAACTTGATTTTTCATCTTACCCTAACTAAATAAGTTCTTTGTGGAGTGATGGGGTGGGTTTCAAACTAGAGCCTTTCCCTTCAACTATGCCTCTAGGGCTAGTAAATATTTTATACGAATTCATTTAAATAAATATTTTTTTACCCAAACGATTTTTTTCCCTGGTTCATCAGAAACTTGGCCTTCGATCTGTGTATTTCTCTTGCCCTCATAGATGCACTGACGTTTGGGGAGAAAGATAAAAAGAGAGTTATTGGAAAAATTGTTTGAAAAAGTTAGAAAGAGATTGAAATTGTAAGTGTTTCTGTAATTTTAAATAGCGCAGAACCTTGCCAGAGTCTTGTCTCGTCAAAGGCAGATCCATCTTTTCAGTCTTTCCTTCCTTGTTCAACTTCAACGTGTACTTGAATGATTTCGGACACTCTAAGACGGTCAATTAATAAGTAATAAACACTTTTTTTGCAATAATTGTAAAAAATATTTGATAATAATATTAAAATTTTAAATGTTTATCGAAATATTAGTAAAAAAATAATGTCGAACTTATCTCTCCATAACATATCTTCAACAGGCAAACCACCATCAGAAAGTAAAGAGATCTCATTGTGGAAAGTTAATTAATTAAATTTAACCAATCTATAAAAAAAATTAATTGGTTTCAATTAATTAAGTATTATTCTGCCACAAACGAACGTTGATTGTTTAGTACAAGGGTATATATATATATATATATATATATATATAGAGAGAGAGAGAGAGAGAGATTCATAGCGTGGCTTAAATGGCTCAGAATCTAAATTGCTCACAAAACACGCACTAATTAATCGAAATTTCTGTAATTTAACACGGTCGAAACGATTGACAAACAAATAATTCGAGAGTTTTTATTATCTTCTCGTTTGTAATGTTTGAAAAACTGAAAACATGCTGAAATGTGATTTATTAGAGATTAACTGTCAGAGAAAGATTCATTTTTACGAAAAATAATTATACACTGAGATTGTTTTCTAAATTTTCAAATGAAAAATCACGTCATCACGTTCAAGTCATTACATTTACAGACATGCAGACGCTCTTATTAAAAAGTTTTTATTATTAGGAAATTTGTAATTCGATTTTGCAGTATTCTGAAAACTTTCACTTAAATGTATATATGAAAATGCAGTCTAAAATAATTAGAAATTTTATTATTAATTTGAATAAATTGGATAATAGCAAAAAATAATTGTTCGAAAAATTGAAAAACTTAGTTACAAACTCAACAAAGAGGAAAATGCGTTTTTTTCATCCAATTACAATTACCTATTCATTGCCTTCATTCAAGCTTTCACCTTCAAAAGTTCATTTCGTTAATTGTTGCTAAAATTTTTCAAAAACCCATGAGTTTGCCATCAAATTAGAGATTGTTGTCAAACAAAATACAATTTTATGAAAAAAGATTATACAGTTTTTATACCTGTGAAAAAATTGAATACAAAAATAAGTTGCGTGTCTGCAATGTATGTTTGTTGTATGTCTTTGTATGCCTCAACTTACCCAATCATTACAATTAAGCCAACAGCAATCAGTGTTTTATATGTATGTACATGTGTATGTATGCATGTAATAATTTAATAAATTATATAAGAAATGTATTTACATCATGAAATTTATGTTCTCTATCTATAAACAGTTTCTGTTGATATTTTTAATGTGATTATAATTATCTATGTAACATTATTTTTTAGTTAACTACCTTTTGTTTTATTATCTGTTAACAACTAACAATATTTAATATTAACCACAAAACTCTGAACATATTTGTCTAGGTGGCTGTGGTAGATGAGCCCATTAGGGGCTCCATCACATTCATCCTGTCTCTTATTTATTATCTGTAATTTTGAGGAGCAAATAAAATTTCGTTTCGTTTCGTTTCATATGTATTTGTATGCATGCATGCACGCATGTATGTATGTATGCATTTATGTATGTTTTTGTATGTTTGTGTATTGAATTGTGAATTGTTGACATCAATAAAAAACTCTATTTAATGTATGTGAATCATTATTATGGGTGCTTAGCAACAGTATACTAACTATACTAAAATGAATTCAACAACCGCCTACGGACTCCCATGTAAAGGTTTATCAAGTTGAATACCAACGTAATCGAGATCACTCCTTTCTTCAGAAAAATGAAAATATGTGTATCTCCATCATTTCATTTCTTTTTTATATATTATGCTCACAATCAATTTAATCAAATCATTCACATCTGTATCTAGAGTTCATTGATTTAATGCTATTTATTGATTTTTGATTGTAAAATACCCTAATATACATTCTTGACGACTGAGCTACTCATACTAAATTGAAATTTGACCAACGGATTCTGCATATTTTTATATATATATAATTTTTGTTTCCATTTCGTTTCAATTATTTTTATTATTATTTTGAATACTATATATATTTATTTATTTATAAATATAAATATATATATATATATATATATATATATATATATATATTTATTATATAACTTTATTATAAAACCAAAAGTAATCAGTGTTACATATGTACGCGCGAGGTTCAAATTCAAAATATTTTGACACCACATACCTCACTTAACTTTAATTGTGTAATTTAATTCAAATGTAAAGATATAAAAATATAATTACATTAAATAACTATTTATTTATTTATTTTTGTGTGAATATAACATTTGCTAGAGTTTATTTTATAGGAATCGAATGTAATGTTTATACCGGCTAATTCACCATCGTATATTTCAACATTTTTTACTATTAGAATGACGTCATTTCCGCCGGTAATTTCGCGACAAAGTGTCAATCCTATTTTAATAATTTTTTTGCCATTGTGTGTGTGTGTATGTATCTGTGTGTGTGTGTGTGTATGTGTCTGAACCGGATGTTTGATCATACGAAAGTTTATATAACATAACCGTCATTCAAATCATACCTATATACTTGTAGACTTGGAGAAAGAGAGAGAGAGAGAGAGAGAGAGAGAGAGAGAGAGAGAGAGAGAGAGAGAGTAATGATGTTGCATTGACATAAAGCTGTCTTCATTCAGTTAATAACGTGATCTTACATGACAAGTCGTTTGAATAAATTATTAAACTAAACTAAATTTATTGCTGAGTAGGGCTGAAAAATCTTTATAATTATTGCAGTATAGATAAATTTCATTATATTTCTCTTCAGTTCTTGCCAAGTAGGTTGTTTTTTCAAAAAATTTTGTTTGATTAGTTGGTAAATTTTTAATTTTAAAATAAATTTTTTGGATACGCAAACTTTTTACCGCAGTTTTATTTCATTCATATTTGTCAATCAGTCCCTCTCTCTAGGTATCTTTGTTCAATTAAAAACCTTTCAATTATTAGTAAAAATATTCAATTTTATTTCAATTTAACTCGCTAAAAAATACCCATACTAATTCTATATAGTATACTATGATAACATAACCCTAACACTCCCATACTACTGAAATACTAGATTCAAAATTTTAACACGTATAAGTACCTATATATAACGGTATGTAAGCTTTTTCAAAAAAATTTTATTTTTTATTTTTTTATTTTTCCAAACATTTTTTATTTTTTTTATTTTTCAAAAACTTTCATATGTTTTGACGTGCTGCATGTCATACGCTGGGATCTCCATGCATTCGAACCCACATACTTCAGCATCAGTGCCAGTCACTATAACCGTTAGGCCATCGTGCCAAACAGTCATTTATTCAATCGTTCGTTCATTCATTCGTTTGTTCATTCGTTCGTTTGTTCGTTCATTCGTTCGTTCATTCATTCATTCATTCATTCTTTCATCCATTCATTCATTCATCCATCCATTCATAATTCATTCACCAACCTACGCCTTTATATTCATAGAACGTGGGTATAATTAATTTGAAATTATTGTCTAACTTAATTGCCCAATTAATACACTAATAATAACTAACTCCTTAATGATTCAAAGAATTTTCTGCCGACTTGAAAATGAAGAAGCTGGGCCTAATTGCTAATGCTCAAATTTTACTATATATGGCTTGGCTTGTTGACTCTATGGTTTCTTGTTAGTATTATTTTTTACCTAATTTTTATGCATTTTTGTGTATTTGATTTGCAATACGAATTCATTCGCCACATCCTAAGATGAAATTCTTGCGTTGTTTTTATGAAGTTTTTAAAGTTTCATCTCAAACCTAAATTAAATGGACATGCCTGCTTCTAAATTTGCAGGAGTGTATACCAGCCACACCCACTCATACGCACTCTCACACACTCACACACACATACGCACATATGCGCATGCACACACATACATACACACACACAGCTTATATAAATAATCATGTCTGAATCAACCGCATCATAAACTTTGCGTATGATTGACTTTGATTTCTCTGGCATTTCAATACGGATGTTGTAACACAAAAACTATGACGCCAATGGATAAATTTGTTAAACTTGACTGTTTCAGTTGCTCTAGAAGAGGTTATTAACAGCGTAAAACACTGAATAGTTTAGTTAGAAAAGTTTCGTAGTTTTAAGAGTGAAGATAACTAAACTGAAATAATTATTATCTGTCTGACGTTTAATACAACAATTAAAAAGTCGCTTGCCTGTGTGTTGTTGTAGACGCCGAAATGTTGCTAGTACTCTACCCGGATGTAAGATGAAGCTAACCTACTATCAGTGTACGTGTGCGTGTGCGTGCGTGCGTGCGTGCTTGTGTGTGTATGTTTCTTTGTTTGTGTGGGTGTGTGTATGTGTGTGTGTGTGTATCTGTGAACGTTTATGTGTTATTGCCTAAAAGTGTATGTATTTATGGATATACATTATGTGTGTGTGTGCGTGTTTATGTGTGTATGTGTGTTTGTCTGTGTGTATCTGTGTATACGTTTATGTGTCATTACGTGTGTGTTTGAATTTGAGTTTGTTTGTGTACGTGATGAGTATTTATTTACAAGTAGAATGTGTGTACGTACGTGATAATATGTGAGCGTGTGTGTGTTTACGTGTGTGTGTTTGTATGTGTGTATGTAAGTGTGTGTGTGGGTTTTCCTATAAATTTTGTACCATTATTCGTTTAGGTAGATAAGAAAATTGACAGAGTGTGGATTAAATTGGTTGATGATAAAAAAATTAATTAATAAAAGCAACCGACTAGATACAAATGTAACTTCTATTAATGGTAATATTATCTAACTTTTTTGAATAAAAAAAAAATTTTTTTTTGTCGCAGGCGTAGCAAAAGATCCGCAGAGGACGAAGGTAAAATTTATGATCAGATTTCATACCACACTAACACATACACACAGACACACACACGTATATATAGTTTATGTATTTGTGTGTGTGTGTAAGTATGGCTGTTTGTTTCTCTCTCTCTCTCTCTCTCTCTCTCTCTCTCTCTCTCTC